AACATAGTAATTCTATATAACGAACCTTTTTTTTTGGCCAGAACCGAGGGTTCGGTATAGAAAGAGTAGACTGTATACTGTATTAGAAAATTTTTTAAAAATCACTTAAAAAAATAATTAATTATCGAAAGATGTATCCGCGTTCTGATTTGTTGTTCGTGGTCTTTGACGATGCATATCAAGCGTTAGGGAATTATCAAGAAGTTTTGCTTGATTAGTTATTCGTATAAATTTATAAGATTAGTTAATGATTTAGCTTTTAAATAACAAAAGCAGACCTTATAAATTTCATAACTACTTTAAAACATATTAAACGATTCATGATGTGCGATAAGTTTTTTAAGTCTGATACTTCGTCCGGAAGCGTAAAAGTTTCGGTTTTATCGATTAAATAAGTACCATCGTGGTGGTGCATTGTATATATCGTAAACTCTTTTCCTATTGAAATAACAGATTCAATAAAAGATAATATTTAAATATACAGTATATATATAAGAAAATACTTACTGTACACCAAAATCCCATATGTTTCTGCTTTTTTTATTATTTCATTGTCGAGGTTATTTTCGGTTAAGACTTCACGTAGTTCAAAAAGCCCCATCTGCATTGCTTTTTTTTAAAAAAAAAAAAAATTTCAATATAGCTATATTAAATTTTTTTTTTTTTTAGCAACTACCAGGTTAAATTCGATGAACTTTTTTTTATTTGAATTCTGTGGATTCATAGTATTCAAACAAAAAAAGTACATCGTATTTGACCTTGTGGTTGCTGAGATTCTTCGCTCAAAGTTTAAATAGTTCAAAATATCTGTCAAAACAAAAGCTATACAAACTTTTTTCCAAACTTTGAGCAAAGATATCTTGGTAACTACCAAGTTAAATTCGATGAACTTTTTTTTTGTTTGAATTCTATAAATTCATAGAATTTAAATAAAAAAATTTCATCGGATTTGACCTGATGATTGCTGAGATATCTTTGCTCAAAAATTTAAAAAAAGGTCAAACCATCTATCAAAACAATTTACCCTAGGTGCCGCACAAAAAATGCACGGCCATTACAAAATTGGTTACTAAATTCCGGCCGGAGTTAACTTTTTAATTTTTTCATTGCAAAAATAGAAATTTTTAAAAAATAAGCAAGTTTGAATATAATAAAGACGGGTTTTTTCTTGGTTTTCCTTCAGTAATTCGGTATTAATATAAAGAGTCTTTTTCTAGTAAATTGGTCTAATTGTAGATATTTCAAGGCTTCGGCTAATTCAATAGTATTGCCTGCTCGCTTGGAAAATCGAGCTGGACCATCTTTAGTGAGTAAATTGACCGTTTGCACTTAAATTATTTGTAAGTTTTTGGGATTGTGACCTAATAATTGATAAGCGCTTTTTAAGCGAGCAAGTATTATGGTAAAATTGGCCCAGGAACAATTTTCACTTCATAGGCGGCTGCGATTTCATTAGTAAAATTACGAGTAATTCCGGCTTGATTTTTTTTAGCCAATCAAAATCGAGGATCTGCTGGTCCAAATTTGTTGTTTTGATAGACGGTGAGTATGCTAATAAGTTATTTGGTGATTTTAAATTAAAAATTGTTCGCCCTGGTGAAGAAATTCATCCTTTACCTCATTATCAAACTAAAAATAATGGTCGTTCTCGGAAGCATCCTGGAGAAGTAATTCATTAAAAGCCCAGACTTTTTGGGAAAATTGACTAAAGTCCATACTTCTCCGCAAGTTTTTTTTTATCACAGTCCGGTTTTAATAGGCTTTTTATTGGTTCATAAGTTTGGCGGTGTAAATCGCAGATTCCGTGCTGGAAAATAGCGGTCAAATGGGGTATCCTTTATTGCTAAATCAGTCGTAGCGAGGATATTTTTTGTGAAGTTTTTGCATAATAGTGTCACGGGTTACTTTAGAAATAATCGAAGCAGCAGCAATATTAATAGATCGCCGGTCACCGCCCACTACACTAACAGTTTTAAATCCTTCCACTACAACTCTCTCCTTTCCATCCACCAAGCACAAATCGGGTTTAACTTTTAGGTTAACCAGAGCCTCAGCCATGGCTTCTTTGGTGGCTGCAAGGGGGTTTTTAGTTTCTACTTCTCGGGCACTTTTAGCAATAACATTATATTCCAAGGCCTCTTTTTGACAAGCCGATAAGCCTTTTTCTTTGGCTGGGACTGAGTATTTTTGAATCTTGAATTAAGGGGTTTTGAAAACCTGCTGGCAGGACAACAGCGGCAACTATTATTGGCCCCGCTAGAGCCCCACGCCCGGCTTCATCAACTCCTGCGATTATTGGATAATATTTTCAGAACCTTAATTCTAAGTCTAAACTTTTTTTTACCATTTTATTTGCCCACCACTAAATTTCTCTAGTGATGATAATTAATTATAATTTTAACTAAAACACAATTTAATCTTAGAACAAATAATCACTAATTCATTCTATTAATTTTGCTTTTTCCACCAAAAAATCTTGTCTTTTTTGGCAGTCTTTTACTGCTATTTTGCCACTTTTTAATTCCTTTTGTTGGATTTTTTGCTGACTGTTGATGGGGCGGTTGGTTCATTATTGCCCGGCGGATTTTGGGAGGTGGCAGTAAGTTTAATTAAGTTATTAAACTGGGGCTTCTGGGGCTTGAAAAAAATTCGTAAGTGGGGTTTTTGACGCGTAGCATATAATTCCACTGTCGGCTTAGTGTTATCAACATTATCCATTCCTACCAGCCAAAAATTAACTGTTTTCTTGTTAAAACTTAACTCTAAATTATTTTTGTTGCTATCCAACAAATCATTGTAAATTGTAGATTCGGCATTATCTTCAAAGCAAAATATCAACTTGTCTAAGGGGTTGTCTGGTAGGCTACCAATTAACTCAGAGGGGTTAACTCCCAAAGAACTTATATGAAAATTAGTAGTAATTTCTACTTCCAGGGCTTTTTCATTAGCCGGAAAATTAGAACTGGGAGTTTTTTCAACTTTGGTTTTGGTGAAAGGAATTTTAATTTCGGTCATATTATTGATAACTTATTTTTTCCACTTTTACAGACGTATTGAACTTTTTAAACCTTCAAGTGAAGATATCTCGGTAACTACCAGGTCAAATTCAATGAACTTTTTTTATTTGAATTCTATGAATTTATAGAATTCAAACAAAAAAAAGTCATCGAATTTAACCTGGTAGTTGCTAAGATATCTTCACTCAAAGTTAAAAAAAAATTTTAATATGAATTTTTTTTTAAACTTTGGGCGAAGATATCTTAGCAACTACCAAATAAAATTTGATGACCTTTTTTTTGTTCGAATCCTATTAATTCATAGAATTCAAATAAAAAAAAGTCATCGAATTTAACTTGGTGGTTGCTAAGATATCTTCGCTCAAAGTTAAAATTTTTGCAGGGGATATGAATAATAAATCGGGGGTATAAAAAATAATCCCTTTATGTTATTGTCTTGTAGATATACATTTAATATTCTATACTGTAAAATCAACACACCTTTAAAGATTTTACTTTGATCAAGTTTCCTTTTTTTATCATCTTTAACAAAAGCATCACCGACTATTTCTGCAAAACCGATTTGAAATTTTTTATAACGTAATTTTAAAAAGTAAATGATGTCATGTCGCCAACCGCTATTTAGTTTTCCTTCTATCTCAGAACTGTTTTTCTTTTGTTCTTTGCGGATTTCATTATCTACCTCACCACTAGTAGACAAAAAAAAAAATTTTTTTTTCAAGACAAGTTTCAATCATAAAAATTTTATTTATACATTGGTGTTTACATTCAGTTTGATATATTTATTTAATATACCAATTAAACATACGTTATGACCTGGACCGATGTTAAATTCATAAATAAATCATTTAATAATCTGTCAGTGATCCTACTTCGGTATGAGTACTCATTAAAATCAGGACTCAGTAAAGGATTGTAGGTACGAATAAAACAAAGTAAACTACAAAATAATTAACAAATAGTTAATATTAAATAAAAATATCTTAATTTTTATAAAAAAAAATTATTTACAATGTTTGATATATTTGTTGGATCCATTGGAGATTTCAATGATTGTCTAAATCAAATTCTGTACCAATTTTTAAAATTGGTTCATAAATGATTTTAAGCATACTACTTAAATTTTTTTCGTGCTCAGATATTGCTTGGTCATATTTTTGCAGTAAATTTGTAATGTCAATGTTAGTGCAATTTTTGATTCGGATGTCTTTTTCATACTAAAATATAAAAAATATAAGATAAATAATGAAACTGAAAAAAAAAATTCATATAGCCCAATATACTAACATCTAACCATGCTTGTTCTAATGATGCCCATTGATCCAGTAGAGCTTTCTTAACGGGGTTATGATGGCTTTTTTCTGGTAAATAAACAATGTAATATCTAGACAATGGACTGCCTAGTGTTGCTAATCTTTGGGAAATACTTTGATGAGAGGAAACAGAGGAAACCTATAATAAATGATTATTGAATATGAATTAAATAAATACAGTATTTAAAGACCTGCAAAAGAGTTTTTACCTTTGTAACAGATTTTTTAACATGTTTTTTTTTAGTGTTATTTTTTATTGTTTCCGACTGTCATAAAATTATAATTTTGTTAATGTTTTTGCATGGTAACCGCAATCCAACTAAAACCCGTATCAGCAGACCAAAATTTGTAAATCATAGAAAAAAAGCCAATATTTCAAAATTACATTAAATAGTGAAGCAACTTAAAATTTCGTTTACAAAACAATATTTATTTTAAAAAAAATGGATAGTAACTGCCTGTTAGAAAATAATAATACCTGTCTATTTTTCCTTGTTGACATCGTGAATAACAAGTAAAGAGCAAATGATTATAAGAAAATTGTAAATCTCTTAATTTTTTTTACCATTAAATTTTGAATATTAAATATCTTCTTCCCGGAGTTTCAACTCCGGGCTTCTATGATACTTATGGCGACGATAATGTGTCATCACAATTAGACAGTATTAAACGTATTGCTATGAAATACATATGTATCATATGAATTTGATAATATGTACAATTAATTGATAAAGCGGTACTGTACTTAAAGTGATAATATGCACTATTAGATTAAAGCGGTAATATCCTCAATCAAATTAAAGTAATAATATATTTAAAGTACTTTACAAAAAATAATATATGTAGCGTTACTACTGATAGTGAATCTTATAAACTCTTAATTCTCGCAGTTTTCTAGACAAATTTTCCCACACCTTTGTGAGAAGTTGCTCTTTTTCCGACAGATTTCATATAAATCTCAATATAAGGTGTATGTTATTATTAATTTACTCTAGCGCTAGAGCTTTCTGCAAATATCATTTTTTGAACAGAATATAATATTATTTACCGGATCGGATACAAGACCCGGACCCTTTACATTTCACCAATTTTAAAACCTGTAATTAGACCTATGGTGTGGGTCTGATAATTGGAAGGTTTATTCTATTTTCATAGTATTTCTTAGTTTTGTCTTAGGTTTTTCCTATTTGTATACCCCGGGTTTCTTACATTTTATCAAGACTCGGGTATAATACATAGTGGGTCTAATATCTAGGGATCTAATATCCGTCATTTACAGTACTTTCGGTCCTCTAAAAATCTTATGTTTGACACAATTTGTTTTACTGAGATACGCGAAAGTTTATTCACAGTTGCCCGTTTTAGTGTAATGAAAAATAAAGTCATGTGATTATGAACTTGCTGAATGACTTAAGATAATTTTTTTTCTGCGTAGAAACGTTAATTGACTCAACTTGCCCATATATATATTCCCATTCGTGGCCAAAATTGACTAATCTAATTTCATATTGTCAATTGCCTATTTGTATTGATATCCGATCCCCAGGCTAGATAGTACGTGCGTACCATATCCATTAATTGGTTCACTATTTATTCATAACAACTCATTTATTGCCATTCATTTTACATCTATTAAATCGTCTGTTTCAGAAATTTACTTTGATTAGGACATATAATTCTTTGTAAACGGGTTGATAACAAGAAAATGGTTTCCTAAAATAGATACGTGTAGTTTTATGCACCTTAGGCTAGAATGATCAACACAAGGAAAATGTGGTGATTTGATATATAATTAAAGGGAATTATTATGCATTAGTACTCTTATGTCTTACGTAAGTGTCATAACCGACCTTAGCACTGGTGCAAACGAATTTTTTTTAAAAAAATCGATTGATTAATTATCAACAAATCGATTAGTTGGTATATTGAAATGGCTTAGATATAATTTGGATTCTAGCTAAAATCTTCGATTATAATGATACTATATAAAAACATCTAATCGGTTAACTATCTACAATCGATTAGTTGTTGTCTAATAGATTTTCTATTTGGAACACTACTTAGTATCATGTCGATCATGTGGCGAGATTCTACTCGAACTATCACATTCTGATTGTTCTTCAATGATACCTAAAAATTTTATCATAATTCTATGAATCAATAGAATCAACCCAAAAAAAAATTTAGATGGATAGTTATCGAGATATCACCGTTCAGAGTTAAAAAAAAAACAGCTGTGTTCTTTTGATAATCGTCTAAATCATTTTTATCTCGATGGTTACCTATCTAAAATCGATGAAATTTTTTTTTATTAATTCTATGAATCCCTAGAATCAAAAAGCAGCCGCAGTCTTTGTTTTCATAATCGTCTAAATTATTAATCGAGAATATCTTGATGACTAACTTTTAAAATCGATGAAATTTTTTTTTTTTTTAATGCCATGTATCTATAGTATAGAAATTACCCTTCTTAATAAAAAATTTTGTTGAAATTATTTGATGTTGACAAAATCAAAAATCTCTTCTTTTCCCTCACTTTCACTTTGGATTATATATTTGACTTTCCAACGGTTATCAGGTAGAATAGAATTGATATTTTTAACACGGTAGTATTAAATTTAATATGAGGTAAAAGATTAAAATGTTCAAAATTGGTGAAATTGGTTTTTTAATATTAAAAATTATTTTATAAAAATAATTTAAACGATTATTATAACAGCTGCGAGTGAGTTTTTTCAACTTTTAGCGATCGAATCTTGATACTACCGACTTAAATTGATGAAAAAAAAATTTAATTTATTTCTATAGATTTATAGAATTAATATTAAAAAACTTTTCATCTTGTTTAGGTAGATAGTTCTCAAGCAGTGCTGCTCACCTCACCGAAAGTTCACTTAACCGACATCACATAGGGTTAGGGTTGGCATTCTATTAGTTGTAGGTATATATTTTTAGTAACTTGTCACTTGGCGTGATGTAGACTAAGTGAGTTGTTGGTAAAATGATGGTCGGATATCAAGATATCCTCGTTTAAAAATAATTGAAAACAGACCGCGGCTGCTTTTTCCAACTTTGAGCGATGATATCTCACTACATATTTAAACTTGTTGAGTTTTTTTATTTTATCTTACAGTATATTTCGTCCAATCAGAATGTGATAGTTCGAGTAGAATCTCGCCAATTCAGACAAATTCATTTCATAAACGAGTTTAACAAATTATCGATAAAATTAACTTGTCTGCAAATTGATTGTCTGGAAAATAAACTAGCTTACGAATCAATGTCTGTGAAATAAGTGCTTATGAAACGAATTGTCTAGGAAGTAAAGCAATATTCTCCGGTTTTTTTTTCACCTCAACCAAAACTCACCTATAGTGCCTACCACCTATGTCGCAATATCTTAAAAACTGACTAGTTAATTGCTCTAAGTAAAAATATTCTACGCCTTTATAACCTTTCCAAACCTTAATTCTAACCCTAAATACGTACTAACCCCATCATGAAAAATTATGCTAAAATTTTATATACAAAACTTATAAAAACTTAGAAAAATATATAAAACATATAATAGATTTAAAACCATCGTAGGTGCGTTTACTTTTAATAAAATTTTCTTAATTATTATTATTATTATTATTTAATACGTATAAGAATTTTTTATTAAATTAAAATATTTTTTTAGTGTAATTTTTTTTGACAGTACTGCCTTGCTTCGTAAACCCAGACATTTAGTTCGCAGAAAAACAATTATTTATGAAATAAACTTGTCTTCAAATTGGTTGTCTGTAATCTGAAATTAGATGCCTACTAAGTGATTGCGATGAAGCGATATGGATTCTTAACTCCTATATATTCACGCAAAGTATATACGTACTACTTATATATGTGATTATATAGGGTGCACCAGTGTTTGAAATTTCAGATCTAACACTGTTCTCATGAGAACAGTATAATAGCTATAGGTGTTCTTCTGTTCTCACTTAATGATGATAAAAAAAAAATAAAAAAATGATACCAATTTGATTTGAAGTGCATATATGTATATATATCGAGAATACCAAGAATTAGGTTGCAACACATGCTGAAGGGACGGGTTTTACATAGAGAGCATTCGGACAAAGATTGTTTTTGTATTTATTTTGTAATTATGTATTTATTTAATAAAGAATTATAAAATTTGTATAGGATATTTATTGAACTTGTTATACATCGAATTTTGATTATATTACTAAGTATGTATTTCAAAATTATCTTAGATTAATATAACTGTCTTTATATTAATGATTTTTGAATATGCATTTAACTTTGTGTATTAATATTATATAGTTTCTATTATATACTTATGAGAACACGATTATTATTTTACTGTTCTCAAAAATTTTTAATAGTGAACAGTAAAAAATTTATACTGTGCACAAATTTATAATTATGTTCTCATGAGAACTCTGAGAACACAAATTTCAAACACTGGGGTGAACACTATATAGTCTCCCTCTTTTATAATCATCATTTTTGCTGAAACAAATCGCGTGATTATAGAGGCTATTTTTTTTATTTTTTTTTGACATTTAAAATAAAATTCACATTTGTACGTACAATGTAAAAATTTAACCTGTTTTCCGAAACTTAAATACACATTTATTTATATCATTAAACGTTAATATTATCGCTATTGATATTTGCAATCTGAATATTGGGCTTGAAATTCGTAATCCGTCCCAAATTTTCTATGTGCGGCAAGATTTAGGAATGACGCATCATAATACAGTAAAATAGGATATCCAAATATCTGGGTCCAAGCTCTAAGGATCACACTCTCGTTAATTAAAAATAAAGTGTATTTGTTTAAGCATTTATCTTATGTGCAACTAAATGCATTTATAAATGCTATGTATTTATAAATGTTGTTTTTTTTTTAATAACTTTCGTGGGTTCTCAAGCATTACTTACATTCTTCACATATCAAATATAATAAATAGGAATTCTCAACAATTTCTACCCGACCCAATAATATCTATTTTATAGCAACTTCCTCTAGCTGTTGCAATAAAAGATTTAAATTAGTAAAAATCATTAAGAGGAGAAGCCAACGCAACTTAAGTCGAAGCTTCGGCGGCTTGCTGAATAGAATTTTTTTTGAGATTTTTTAGGTGGATAGCCGAAGATTACGAAAAATAGAAAGAGTACGCTCAAACATTTTAATTATATATATCGACATTAATTGCGATGCTTCATAACCAAACACCCTAAGCTGAGGTATCCAATGTACTATGTAAATCAAATATATGTATAAAAATCGAATATAAATTTTTTTGCACGATAATCTATAGTAAATTGCTATAAATTTTAACGAAAAAAATCATTAATATTACTAAAAATTCTTAAAATTAATAAAAAAAATAGTTTAAAATATAGGTTCTGCTGAAAATCATAATCGAGCAAATTTTTTAAGCTAGTTAATGTGTAACTTGGAGATACAATTTGAAATTTGATAATTTTTTA